ACTTCTAAAGACTTGTAAATCTTTGTAAATAGAGTATGTTAATGAAAAGATGCTTTATTTATGTTTTCTTGTACAAAGTCCCATTTGTGCAATGCACAACCGGGCATACGTCTGCTCTAAATTGAGTAGATATAAGCTAAGTCTCAAACTTAGCGGCTATTATAAGGCCAATGGCCGGATAGCCTTCAAACCGCTTGCTCCAACATGAGCAGGCAACCGGCGACGCCCATTTGGGTGAATTTGTCAAAGCGAGCATCTCCAATTTGGGTGGTACATTGTTCTATAAATCATAACTCAAGCGGCTATAACCAACTGTCTAGGTTAAAGATAACTCACGGTCGTTTGAATAATCAATTGAAACCTAGATACAACCGGTCGTTGCTTCAAGCAACACAAAAGGTAACTGATATATTGGTCAAATATAACCGGTCTTTGCCCAAAGGCACTAAAGCCGGTTACAAACCCAAATTAAGCAAGGTCAAAACCTTAGCAGCTAGTTTATAACCTGGTTATGATGCCTACGCCGGGCCAATGGTCGCCTGCATCCTAACAAACGGCGATGACAGATACCCAAAAGGTAACTCGTAGCCGGTTAAACGAATAATCTAGGTTGGCCCTAGCCGGCACCGTCTGCTAATCCAACTTAGAGAATAATTCTACTTCTTTAAATATGGTCAATGACCGTCTGTTACCTCTACGGATGCTTGATTGGACTGCTTCCCACTTAGGGTGGGGCAACTACCAAGCAAACAACCGTCCAGGGGCAGGTAAAGCCAATGCACCGGGTGAACTGCATGTGTTAGGTTACTTGCAAAAATATTCATGCATACCAAAAAATTGAGGAAATTGCAAATATTGAAGCAAAATATATCAAAGGCAAATATGGGCAAAACCGACTTAGTCGGCAAAATCTATTGAATAATAATAATTGTCAGCCAAAACTACGTCCGGGGAAAAGGAGAGTACATGAGATACATGGCTCGCAGGCCGGAGATAAAAACGAAAAACAACAAGGTTCACTGTTGTTGGGGAGGCTGAGATGTCTGGCCCTTGCCTGATGGAGGAGCATCTTGAGTTTGCTGAGGTTGGGCTTCATTAGCCTCACCCGGCGCTCGTTCTTCCGCCTGCTCCTCCTCCTGGTCTTCCTCGATAATGCCAGCCCATTCCTCAAAGGGAGTCGGCTTCTCAATCCCAAGAGTTTGAGCATCGTACACCTCGGTGGAATACTTGTACCTTAGCTCAAAGAACTCCAATTCGGTGTCCGGGTGGATGAGGGACCAGGCCATTTTTATGCGAGCCTCGCAGTCCTGCTCATTTTCAGCAACCAGTCGGTCCTGCTCGGCTGCCAGCTTGGCCTTGTGACCAGCCAGCATTTAGGCCAGCTCGTTCTTCAGCCGGGAGACGTCTGCCCTTAGTTGGGTGTTCTCCTTGTCGTCATCCCCCAGCGCTTTGACATCGACCTAGAGGTTTTTCACTTGCAGCTCAAAGTCAACCGCCTTCTTGTTGGCCGTGTCAGCAGCCGCAGTGAGCTCCTTGATAAGCTCCTCCTGTTTCATCTCTCTTTCATACATTAAAGTGTTGTATTGAGTAACGTCAATGAGATCAGCCGCCCACCTATTGGCGTCTCTTACCTCCTCTTGCTTCTTCCTTAAGGGAACCTTGAGGCCGTCTACCCTTAGCATCACCTGCAAAATCAGCTGGAAAAGGGTTAGTCTCCCAATTCTGGTACATCCGGCAAAAAGAGTAAATTATACAAAAGTACCCCAGTCGGAAAATTACCTCAGCAAGTAGCGAGTTGATGCGGTCAATGTTGACCTGGTGCACACCCGGCACCGCCTCCTTCTCGGACTGGGTGAGGGTACTCAGTATCCTCTTTGCATATAGTTGGAGGTCAGGCCAACGTGAAGAGGCATCTGCACCAACAGAGTCATTTGTTAATTATTGAGCATAGGCGGCATCTATATTCAGCCGGCTGCCTGAAGAATCCCCTGATTGGGTAGTTTGGGACTTGACTCGCATAGGCCCAAGAGGCCAGGGCATATCACAGGTGAAGGCCATACCTTGATTTTCAGGCTGAGGGGTCACCCCACCCCCAGCCGCATTGGAGCCGGTTGCTACAGCAAGTTGCCGGCTCGAGGGCGTCTCAGGCTCCCTCGTCTCAACCTCAGCCGGCTCGGTGTTTGAACCAAGGTCTTTCAGGCTCTTGCCTGCTAAGGTTGGCCTGTCAGGCAGAAGCAGCCTTCCAGAAAAGGTAGGGGCAGCCGGAACCCTCCTTGTCTTGGAAGGAGGTTGAGAAGGCTCCTCGCCCGGCCTTTTTAGCATTTTTGTTAGGGAGCGAGGAACATTCTTGCTCCCCGTCTGAAAAAGAAACAGAGCAACCGGTTAATATCAGAATAGACATCGAATTATACAGACGATAAAAAGAGCTCAGCCGGAGCTTACCCCATCGTCCTTGGCCGCCAGTTGGGTCCTTTTTTTCTCCAACTGATCCTTCCAAATCTGAGCAGTAGTAGATTTAGCAGGCGTCTTCTTTGGAGGCACCATCTCTAATCCTTTCTCTGAAAGAAGAAAATCAAAGTCAAATGCCATTCAAGCACGATACAGACGACATAAAGTGTCGGTTATCAATCAACATACGTCTGCTAAACATTGTGCTAAGGCCACAGGCGGAAAGGAACGCCTCGTCCTTTAGCCAGTCCGGATGAGGGACCCAGTTCTTGGGAACAATGATTTCAGTCCCATCATCCAAAGGCATTGAGGTTTTCTTGAAGAACCTCGTCTCCATTATTTGCATCCAGGCCTCTTCCGGTACTTTAGGAAGGGCGCATTTCTTTCCAAGGAGAGCTGGGTGATTATTATAGTGTCGCAGCCGGTGGTTCAGACGCAAAGATGGAGAAGAAACTAAGTGAAACTTGCTCTTCCAACTGCTCCACTTTAACGGCTTATCCAACGTCATCATGAACTCCAGGTGCGTGGTCAATGTATACCACGCATTCCAGCCGCCTAGGGCACGGCTGAGGTAGTGCATATGCACAAACACCTCCCAACTTGACGTGATGTCCTACATCTTGCAGGCGACTATGTATCCTAATATATTCACCCAAGAATTGGGTGTTAACTGCCAATCGCCAAGGTCGTAGCCTCTTAGAATGGCTTTTATTGCATTGTGGAGGGGGAACCGGAGGCCGACTTTAAATGCCGCCTCATAGCAGCCGAAATAGTCGTTGGCATGATCCAAGTCATCATCCCAGACGAAGGTTGCCTCCACAAGCGGTACTACAATCTCCCATCCATCCCCAACCGGGCACTTCTTTATAAATCCGGGGAAGGTGGCGTTCACAGTGACAACATCCCTAGCGGACATGTGCGCCTCTGTTGGATTATTAATTGAGGGCCATTTATACGCCTCCTCATCCCCTTGGGGGGCATCCGGTTCTAAGGAAGACTCTTTAGAGTCTGACTGTTGGACGGTCTCTTTACCGTCTATATCCTCGGACTCCTCTAAAATGTCATCACTAGGTGTGCTAGGTACACCCGGATGGTCATAATGTACAAGGTCAGCCGGAGCATTGGCTGAGCCATTTGATCGGTAGTCGGGGTCTACAGTCGCCCGTCTCGTCCGAGCCATTCTGTCCTGCACATGAACAGAAACGATCGGATTTGTGGAAGAGTAAGGGTGGTCCAAACACCCCTAAACGGTATCCCCAGTCCTAGACTCAGCCGTATCCGGTGACCGGCTGACAACTGTCCTAGGCCGTGTCGTGTGTGTGTTGGGAGAGTCCATTATTCTTTACAAGCTATACAACTGAAAAAACTCAAAGAAGTTGCAAGGGGTAGAGACAATACCTCGAAGATGTTTTGAGTATGGGGGAGGTTGACTATCTGGATCAGCAGCCGGAAACTTCTGTGTTGCTTGCTAGATACCCAGACGGTTGCCCAGATGTACCCTCTTGAAAAGCAATTGAAAATTGTTGGAAAACCCAGACATTCCTCTGAAGTTTTGCTTGAAGATACCCCAGACGTTTGACCGGCTGTGGGTGTATTGAAAGCTAGGAGAATGTCAAAAGACCCTCAGGCGGTTTTAATATGTTTTGAATGAAGAGCACTCAGTCGGTAGCTGGTTGAGTGAAGAAAAGAGAAGATTATGCAAGAAATAGCAGCCGGTCTTAGAGCTCTTTTCTCAGAAAAATTTCTCAAAATGAATAAGTGTTGAAATGATGGGGGGGACCTCTACTTATAGAGAAGAACCCTAGAAGGCGAACCGTCACCTTCCAAATTCAAATTCAAAAAAAAAAAAAAAAAAAAAAGAGAAGAGAGAGAAGGAGATGAAACGTCAACTTCTCAGATCATGACACCTGTCAGAGGTGCCACGTGGCAAGCCACGTCACACTTGTGAGGGGCAAATGTTTAGGGTAAAACTACCCCTGTCCACATGGACCAATCGCGTGTTGACAGGTGTCAGCATCAGAGAGGTTATGAGAGAACCAACCCTCTGGTGACACGTGGCACTCCAACCCATGAAAGGGGAATTGATCCTCTTACACTATAAATAGAGGAAAATCCTCATTTATTGCATATTCAGAAATATACACACTAAACCCGAGCAATATTAATTGCAGAATTCTCTCGGAATCCGAGAGAAAAACTTATACATTTCGCACTTTTATACATCCGAACACGTTCTAACTTGATCATCGGAGGCAGAACTCCACCCAACCGGAGTTTTCCGTGGTTTTGTAGGTACAGACGGTCGACGCATATTCTTGGAATTGTAACTTTCCCGAGGGACTCCAAAAACCCCGAAACAACTACCTTTTCAATAAGTTTCCGATCACTTGGGATCATTGAAAGCAAATTCATATTAAAGTTGGGATTATTAAAATATAATCTAAATTTGGAGTTATTTTGGGTGAAATAAGGTAAATTTGGGATTATTTTAGTCGATTTTTTAAGAAAATAGGACTTGCCCCTTGTTGTTTCAGTCACCATCCCTTTTTCTTTCCCTATTTTAACACACTATCTAGAAAGCCTGAGGGTTTTTCAATCCCTTCCACTTTTGTCTTGTCCTCTGCAATTCCCTAATTCAAAAATCTCAGTGTAAACAAGCTTCAAGCTATCAAGTATCAACAATGGAGGCTCTTACTAGAATCAACTACAAGCAGACGCCATTGCCGCTCTCTCCCCGCTACCATAACCGCCCATCTTTCTCAACACCCATCTTTTCAATCTCCTTCAAATCCCAATTTTCTCGTTCTTTCCCCTCTAAACCGTTGTCATTCAAAATTAGATCTAGTTCATCTCCAAATTCATCGTCAATGGCTGATAATGCGAAATTTTCCGCAAAACCTAAAACCCTAAACCCTTTCTCTCTCCTCAAAACCCCTCTTTCAATTGCCGTTGCTGCGACCGCAATCTTCTTCTCTGGGTTGGGTTACAGGCCGTTGACTGCAAGAGCTGAGCCAGCTGCACCGCCTATGGTGGAGACCTCGGAGAAGGGAGAAGATGTAAGTTTCAGCGAGGAGAGAGAAAAGAAGCTCGAGGAAGCTGTTGCGGCGAACCCGAATGATGTCGAATCATTGAAATCATTAATGGAAGCGAGAATCAAGAACAAGAAGCTTCCAGAAGCAGTGGAGGTGTTAAACAGGTTGATTGAGCTGGAGCCGGAGGATGTTGAGTGGCTATTATTGAGGTGTCACATGTATACATATATGGGAGAATCGGAAATGGCGGAATCGGGTTTCGAAGAGATCATAGCTAAGGACCCGCTTCGTGTTGAGGCGTTCCACGGTCTTGTAATGTCGGTTTCGCAAAACGAATCGGATGTGAAGCAGATGGAGAAAGTCACAAGGAGGATTGAAGAGGCGACAGAGAGGTGTAAGAAGGAGAAAAAGAATGAAGAAATGAGGGATTTTAAGCTGTTGATGGCGCAAATTCGAGTTATTGAAGGGAATTATGTGGAGGCATTGAAGGTTTATCAGGAACTAGAGAAGGAAGAGCCTAGAGATTTTAGGCCTTATTTGTGTCAAGGAATTATATACACATTGTTGAGGAAGAAGGATGAAGCAGAGAAGCAATTTGACAAGTATAAGAGGCTTGTGCCAAAGGGTCATCCTTATGCAAAGTATTTCGACGAAAATATGCTTGCTACTAAGGTATTTTCACAAATGGGAGAGAATGAAAGAATGAAAATGGGGTCACAAAATTAGTTGCTTGAGGTTAAGGAAATTATATGCATAGCATGTTCAAGTTTTTGTTTTATTTTTAATTATGTTTTAATTTTATTTCTAGTGTTAGTTTATGTGCTGAGAGTTTTACCATAAGTAATCGAAGATCGAAAGAAAATCGAATTGAGTTATTTAGTGACAAGACTATGAGTAGTTTTGAATATGGCATTGTAGTACAATGAGTAATTTCAGTAAGAAATGAAATAATTTCAGGGCTTGGTTCCATGTTTTATACTTGGTATGATTTTCATTTGTGAAGAGTAATTTCAGGACTTTAAAGCAAATGTCATCAACAATCACAATAGTAATTTGTTCTTAGATAATCATGAATAGCGTACCTTTGATTTTCATTGGTAGATTGCATATTGGGTTGGTCAATATTACATATATGAACTAGTTTTTGAGGTTTATATGTCTATCACAAACCAAAGAAAATCCATGATGATGAGTTGTTATATGGTACATTGTATGAAAGTTGAATTTCGGTTATTAAACTACTAATGTACAATGCTTGCTTCCCAGTTTATTTGCGAATAGTTTTTTAGGAATATCAAAAGGAAACCCCAGAAGCAATAACAATTCACAACAGTATTTGCTTGATAATTTTCGCAAATGTGCTGATATCTTTTAATTTGGTAGAGGTTGCATATTGGATTGGCCAATTTATGAGCAAGTTTTTCTAGTTTATACGTTGATATTCATTCTTACTGGTTTTGCTAGGGGAATGGGGAGAATGATAATTTATCCTCTATTTCTTTATTTTGCTAGCAATTTGCTTTAGATCATCCCTGATTTACCTACATGATTTCAGCATTCCAGTTAAAAGGTATTCCTAATCTATTCTTGAGATAGGTTTCTTATGCATATCTTCGGCAATTATGTAAATATATTGAACTTTTTGATTGAAAAGATAGCACTGAAAAATAGAAATGGGGAAGTCACGCTTGGTTTTATCGTTACGTCGTCGTGAAGCCTCTCCAAGCAAACAATCTACCTTAGCCGCACAACAGAGTTTAAGCCATTCAAATTCACTCCTCTCAAGGCGGGCAACTTGATATGATGAATACGATGTTGAGAGAGGTTGTAAAATGATTTAAGAGGAGAGAGAATCTGAGAATATCAACCAATTCCCGCTTAAAATCTTGCAAGTAAGAGGTGATTTCATTGTTATCAATTACTTGCATTTTTTTTTTCTTATGTTTCCCAATGCGTAACCCTAATTATATTCCTTCATAAACATGAGTAATTTTGTGAAGTCCTTATTCGGGTGATGTTTGAAATGCTGATGAACATGATAATTTTTGTAAAACATTGTACATGATCCAATTCATGATTTTATTTTATGTTAAAACTTTGTAGAATTGTAGTAAGAGACATTAAAGTTGGTATGAAGTAGCAGATTAATCGATTCATATTATTCTACAGGAATCAGGAAACGGAATGGTCATATGTTACTATGTACAATATACGATGGGCTAGCCTGTACTCGATAGCTAGTATTTTCTGCTTGACCAATTAGTAGGCTTTCAAAACAAGAAAAAGTTTAACCTAGTGAATTGCCAGTATCTTGTACTTCGTATAAGTTTAGGGGAAATGAGTTCATTTCAAGGCATGCCTATGAGTACGAGGACAAGGTTTTTTTTTCTTTTAATCTAGTCGATGATATAGTTGTTGATGTTGTGTTGTTATTGTATATGCCGTTATCATGTTAAATGTGAGTGTTAAAGGAATGTGGAGAGAATGCTGTATTTATAATATTAAACACCAAGGTGATAGAGAGCAAGAATGAGGTTCCACACTAAATTAGTTATGTTGATGTATAAGTTCAGGGGAAAATTATTCATTTCAATACATGTATATGAGTACAAGGACAAGTTTTGTTTTTGTTTTTTTTTTTTTTCTGTTTTTTTTTTTTTAAATAAAAAAAATCTTAAATCGAGTTGTTGCTATAGTTGTTGATGTTGTGGTGGTTTTATTGTTTATGCCATTGTCATGTTGAATGTAAGGAATGTGGAGATATAATAGTAAACACCAAGATGAAAGAGAGCAAGATCGCAGAATTCAGTTCCACATTTAATCAGTTTAATAAAAGTGCATAGTAAAGAATATGTTGCAGTTTCACTTTCGAGTCCATTCCCTCATAATACTCGTGATTTATTTGAGTCACTTTTATTCAAGGCTCAATTTGTTTCTTGCTTTGCTCCTATGCAGTGTTGTGTATGTTTGTTCTAGTCATTTTTTTGTAGAAAGCCCATAAAATTGAGATATTAATGAATCATCCCTAACAAATGCACCCTAGCATAACAAATTTCGAGGAGCATACATGTGCCGTTGAGTCTTGGTGGATGGTTTAATTTGATGCTGTCCATTGAAGGCGTTGAACATTTTCGATCTTGCTACACTGCTGTGTGTGGCAATGTGTGTGTAAAATTGTAGTCACTTGTAGGCATGTTGTAGGTTGGGATGGGCATTGAGAGGCTGATTTGCTTCTTCACAATACTGGCTTGATTTGTTGTTGCAATGTCTGAATTTGTTATTCTATTGACTGAAGTTATTGTTTACTAACCGGGTTTTGTTGTTCATCACAATACTAGCTTGATTTGTTGTTGCAATGTCTGAATTTGTTACTCTGTAGACTGAAGTTATTGTTATACTGACTGGGTTTTGTCGTTTATCTATTGGGATTTGATCGCTGCATCACTTATGTGGTTGTGTCGTGGATGTATGTTGTTCGTTGTCAATTAAATATTGTTGTTCGTTCCCATAGACTAAAATTAGTGACCTTTGTACCCTCATTTGCTCACGGCCATGGACATATATTTCTCTACCTACATTATATGCTTTCTTCTAATATCACAAATTCACAGGTCGATTTCACAAGTGTTAATGGTGATTAGACTATTGATATGTGTCTTATTACACAGATCTTACATGTAAATTAGTGTATAAGGCCCATAATGATGATAGTAGTTTTGAGTTTAAAAATTTCTACTACTTTGAATTCATTATGCTTCGTATACAAGTGCATGTTATGCCTGTTGAGAATACGTAATTCAGTTAAAAACATGGAATCAATAAAAAAAAAAACATGTTGAGAATTGAGGTGGGATACAGAATACAAAGGGACTGGTCTTTGTATATAACCTAGGCAATGGATACCCAAGTCCCCTTTTTCTTATCCCACCTCTCTTGAAGCCACTTTAGGATCAACTTGTGAAGCCACTCTGGGATCAACTTGTCAGTGTAAACGCGTATATAACCAACCTTCCTACAATTTGTGTAGTAGACAAAAACACCTTCATAACGGAGATGCACCCTTTGGAAATTATTGATCATCAAAATACACTCAAATCCCAAGTGACCGTACTCTAATAGATGACCAAACCTATCATAGTAATACACTTTAATGGTTTATTCAAAACTCCTTAAAATAGTCAAAGATTGAATCTTTAATGGTTTATTGATTGAATCTTGAGGAAAAGTATCAGCGCATAGCACCTATGTTCTTAGAAAGCGTATAGGATAACACTGGTTTTCTAGTGGTACAATTCAAAGCACAAAATGTACGTACCACTTTGATTAAATGTACTAATGTGATTTCTGTGGTACATTTTCGGAGTATCAAATGTATCACTAGCACAATTAAGTGGAATATTCAAGTTTTCTAATGCCTGGTAAATTATGCTTCTGCCCTCCTATACACTTCGTTTGTCAATAGGTGCTATGCGCTGATATGCACTCGAATCTTGACTTGCTAAAATCCAAAGTGAACATACTTTAAATTTTAATGATTTTGGAAATCGATTAAAATCATGAATATTCACATTTATACTTGAATATTATTCTTCATTGGATGGTTGAAATATTCAAACATGTATGAGTGTTGGTTAAATAAATTATTCTCATTAGATGGTTAATTAATTTATTCAATTAGTTTTGTCAAACTCATAATTAGTTTTGATCATTGGATGAGTTAATTTAATTATGTTGTTTTCCCTTAATTTTTTATTATATCAAATTGACCTAAAATTATTAAAGAATGGTTCTTGGAAATAATTTTGGTTATCGCACTTTATTTGGGTAAATAAGTCGGACTTAATATTAATTCAAAATTGCTGAAAGTTTAATTCAAAATTGGATTTAGAATTAAACAATGTCACATGAATTTTTGGGATTGAAAATCCCAAGGCACACCCCAAAAAATCGAGGCATGGTGCCTCGGTGCAACCCTCGACCAGTAGGGTTGCTCCCGCAGCCATGTTAAGCTGCTGACCGGGAGATGCTTGCGGGTGTGTGCATGTGTATGCGAGCAAGGGTGCGGGAGGGATTGTGTGCGAGTGTGTGCCACAAGGGCAGGGGCTGCTAGGCATCACCCAGCCTGCATAGCAGGGCTGCCTAGCAGCGCCTATTGCTAGCACTAACACGCACCAAGCACGCTGCTAGCAAGGCTGTTGTGCTTGTGAGGCCAACACTTGCTAGCAAGGCTCCTAGGGCTGCTAGGCAACACCCAGCCTGATCGCCAACAAGGCTGTTCGGCTAGGCGGCCTAGGAGCACCCGACCTTGGCTTGGGAGCTAGGCCTTGACCTATGCTTGCATTTGCGATTTTGTTTGAAAACGAGGCTAGGGCCTCAGTTTTTTGACATATTTACGTAATTCTTAACAAAATTTGACTCGATGTGCTTAATTAAATTTAATTGGATTAATTTAATTAAGATGGATGTGGATTTTAGTGGGAGTTTCATTAATCGGTTTTGAGCTCGTTAAGCTTTAATTATGCGTACTATTGTGTAAGTTCACACAATTGGAATAAACACTTGACTAGTTTTAGTCAGGCATGTTTATCGGATTAACAACCTAAGTTAGTAACTAGTGCTCGATTGTTTGACACAAGTTTTATATTATTGCTCGTATTATTTGTAAAAATTGCATGGGCCATTCACTTTAGAAGTGAATGAAAGCAATGGTGTCCTTCAAACAATTGTATTCCGATAGAGGGTTCAAAATTAATTAGGAAAGCTAATAATTCAGTGAAGTCTAGTGATTGGAATGCCTAGCTGGAGGGCGCTTCCGATCAATAAGATTAATGTATAATTAATCTTACAGCTTGCTCTTGACTGAACCCTATGGGTCACACCCAATCGTGTAACCGAACAAAGGTGACGAATTAATCCGAAGGATTAAATACGTCGACAAGGATTTTACGAACTAAGACGTCGGGTTTCGAGCTTAGAGC